TTAATAGCATAGGGTTTAGATTAGCAGTATAATCGGCCCAAGGATAGAGAACATGGGGGCGCAAATCACTTTAGGCACCTTAGTATCACGAAGTGATGCACGATTTCTGTGTAGTCATCAAACTGATGCACAGACTTTCCGTATATCAAGGAATGATGCAAATCCCTAACCCTAACCCTAACTCTACCCCTAACCCTAACACCATTCGTGGATACTAAGGTTATACTTTATGGCTTAGGGTTAGGATTTTTGGATCATTCCTTGATATACGGAGTCTGTGCGATCAGTTGATGATTCACAGAAATCTGTGCATCAGTTGATGATTCACAGAAATCTGTGCATCACTTCGTGATACCTTAAGGTGCCTAAAGTGGATTTGCACCGAACATGGCGGTCCCAATAAAACAATGACAATGTGCAACCCTAATTCTAACCCTAACCCTAACCTCTTATATTGATATATATTATATTTATATTGATGTAAAGGACATTGGTTCTTGTGGGACCCATGTTCTATATCTTGAACCGTATAATCTACCCTTGTCATATTATGACTATGACTATATGCAGCCTATGAGTATGACATTTATTTAGGCAAAAGCAAGCCGCGCGGTTATCGTACAATCCCTACTGCTAACGTGGCACTATTGTTACTGTTAGCCGTTAGGTGTTGCCGGGTATACGATACCCTAATTACAACTTCATCAATATTTACTACCATTTGAAAGGATCTGTGTAGAGATCCTTGATCTGTTTTTTTGCTGTCGCAAAAGCACCGTCTCCTTGCTTTCTGGGCGCTGCCATTTTGGGGGCGATTGTTGCGCCACCGCTTGACTATCTTATGACTTATCTTATTTATCTTCAACTTATCTTATCTTAACTTATTATATTATTTATCTTCCCTATCATATTTATCTTTAACTTTTGATTTTTGATTGATGAATTGTTTGATTACGTAGATAATTATCAAGGCATACATCACAAACTATATGTATGTAAGTATAAAATACGCAGCTAGGTAAAAAAATTACCAATTTTCTTCCGCTCCTTTTCTTTACTTGAATGCTTTCTCAGGGAGCTGCGGATACAGACCACACGATACAGACGTCCGTCAACAGGCGCTGTGGCAGCCACAGGGACCTGAGGCGAAATAAAAAATAAAAATGTGTTATATAAAAAGAAAGAGAGCTCTTCTCTTTTTATATAACACATATTTATTTTTTATTTCGGCCTTCAGGTCCCTGTGGTGGCAGCGTGCGCAAATAATCCATTTAATTATATGTGGTGGGGGGGCACCAGTAGCGAGCACGCGAAGGGGGTCTGAGGGACCCTCCCAGAAAATTTTTGAAATATAGACCCCTCAGATGCGTTTTCTGCGCGAGTAGGGGGGGGTCGGCCCCCTGTACACGCCCCTGCACACACACACGCACGCACGCACGCACGCACGCACACACACAGCACGCACAACATGCATTTGTTTGTGATAAGATTACGAAAAGGGTATCCCATGCAGTCATAAAATCAAGAAAACAAAAAGCAGAAAAACCAATCATTTGGTGTTGAGGTGATCACAAAATATATTGCCCGTCCTTATTATTGTTGGTCCAGTCATATCATATATGCGTGTATATATATCATCACTTTGCAATGAAAATTACATTATTAAGAACCGATGCTCAGTTCCTCAGTGTCCTCTTTGCGTGCATATAGCTCGTGTTCCAGCTTAATCCTTGAATCAGTGTCTAATGTGAGTGATAGTCCACTAAACTTTCATAAACATACTTTCTCTTGATGATTTCTTGCATAAGAATGATTTAATATAAGAAAAATAAACGTGTTAAAAGAAACGGTACTAAATTTATCAACACATGTTTTTCTCAAGTTGTGCATGATCATTATTATGCTCTCAAATGCACTTGAATGTAAATGAAAGCTGCGCAAAAAAGGGAAAGAAAGGCCAATCGTTGACGCACTCTCCACACAATAAAAAGGTTCTCACTTCACAACACACGCGACGCACGCAGCACGTACACACAAAACTGCCAATCTTGCATTGAACCGCACAACGACATTTCTCACCGGCCAATGAAATCATCGCTGTGACGTTTTCCGGTGCGGTTCAATGCAAGATTGGCAGTTTTGTGTGTAGCGAAGTTTGCGTGATTTTTATGTCGTGATGTTTTAATAATTAAACGGGATTAA